CGAATAAATTAACACTTAATTTAAAAAAATCGAATTACGTTATTTTTCGTCCATATCAAAAAAAGCTTAATTTTCAAGTCAGCATAAAAATGTTTAACAACGACACAAACAAACTGACTGAGATTGAGTGCAAAGAGTTTATCAAATATCTGGGGGTAATAATTGATAGTAGTCTTACCTGGAAGTATCATATAGACAACATTTCATCTAAGATAAGTAAATCCATCGGAATAATTACAAGGCTTAGACATTTTGTACCTCTTTCAACCTTACTTAGCATATATCAATGTTTAATATTGCCATATATAACCTATGGTATAATAGGCCCTTTCAAGGTTTATTCCGCCATATTGCCGGGGGTGCAAAACATTGGGGCGAGCGCGCGGCCAGTCATGGTTTCCCATACAAATTACTAGTGAGTGAGCGATAATTTTGTATGGACATTTTATTGATTTTCTCATGCTATATTAAAAGAGAATCCAAATTCTTGTATTCTGGCTGATCTGTGCGTATTTTGTAACTACTGGTAAAGATTTCAATGGAATCTGATTGGGGGAAATCCGTGAATATGCTGATTTCTTCGACACCTTTCGGCGAGCTGTTTACAGTGGATTCGCGACAACGAAACGCCGAAAACAGGGCTTTTACGTCTCTGTTCGTTTAAATAAAACAACATTACAAAAGAATCATGTTTAAAAACAATACAACAAAGCCGTCGGGAAAGAAGAAAGACGTCCAGGTGCGAGAATGTAACCTGATACCAATGTCAATCTCACCTTTAATTATATGACATACTATTAGTAATTATTAGATATCAGAGATAAATTCTAAAAGTAGGCGAATCCAAAGGGTATATAATATTGAGAGATATTGAGAGTTTCAGTTGTTCTCATTGGCAGTACTACCCCCATAGCCAACTGAGAGCAAAACACAAGCAGAAGGAACAGTATCTACAATGCAGTTCAATAATCTTAAAAACCTGCCTGAAGTATTTGATAAATGTTTGTGACTATCGATCAAATTCATCAAAATAGCTCAAGAAACTCATCAAAACTTCACAAGTGGTATAAAAGAACAAATTATGTAAAACATATTCTCTCTAATAATGGAGTTGATGTATGGAACTCACTAGAATAAAAAATAAAGACAAACTCTCAATACATCTTCAAAAAACAAATTCAGCAGCATTTTTTGATGAAAACATTCTATTTGCATATTATTCTATTTGCATATTATTGTTCCTCTATTACTCTGAAAATGCTCTCTCTGATTTGACTGTAAAATAAAATAAAATAATATATTATAAATCTAACAGTTAACTATAAACCTTTACTAGGGGCCTAAAGCAAAAAGCCTAACAAAGTATCTAATAGGTCTTTAGCCCAAATTAATATGAGGAAAAATATGTAAATATTGTCTATGGAACTGTACATAGGGGAGAAAAATTAAAACTAAGTAAATAAATAATAAAGAAACTCTTTCATTGGTAATATTTCTGTCCTCAGGTTTTCTGGGGTCAAATTCTTTCCTCACTGTTTAATTGCAGCCAGAATTTTGGTCTAATATAAATATTAAATTTTTAACCTTGCATGCTTGGATTTACTTCTTTTCAACTTTCTTTGTTCTATCCTTGGGGAACACTGATACAGGCACACAGGCAGGGGAAATATATTGCTTGTTGACATGTTGCAAGCATAATTTATTTAATACATTGAAGACTGCAAGTACATGGTTACATGCTCAACTGTTCCAGCTGTTCAAGGACACACATCCACACTTTTATATGTGAGTCATCCTTTGTGATGGACATACTGAATTTACAAAAAAATGTCATGGTCTTGTCAATGGGGCATTTAGCAACATGAATTATATCAACAAATCCACTCATCCAATATGAGTAGGCCCTCTCATCTTTGTATTTGCCAATATATTCAACCTCCACTGCCTTTACTCGTAGAATGTATAGCATTCCATCATCAAGATGTGGCCATGTTTTTGAATGTCATCTTTCCAATATTCATCGCACAGAGTGCTAGCCTCGCACTTAATAATATCATTAGTTTGTAGCCTTTGTTGGTATTCCTTCTTAATTAATCTATCAAAAATTTGTTCCTTGTAAATTTCTTTGAAGCACCCAATTCATACGCTTTAATACATGCTCTTGCCAAGTTCAACCTTTTTCCCACTCTGTCAACCCACAGCCCAACGATATCCTCGTAATATAATCCATTTGCAATATAATCCTCCTATGAGAACATAAGATATAAACAACTCAAACTCAATATCTCTGAATATATACCCTTTGGATTCGATATTAAAGGTGAGATTGACATTGGTATCAGGTTACACTCTCGCACCTGGACGTCTTTCTTCTTTCCCGACGGCTTTGCTGTATTGTTTTAAACATGATTCTTTTGTAATGTTGTTTTGTTTAAACAAACAGAGACGAAAAAGCCCTGTTTTCGGCGTTTCGTTGTCGTGAACCCACTGTAAATAGCTCGCCAAAAGGTGTCGAAGAAATCAGCATATTCACGGATTTTCCCCAATCAGATTCCATTGAAATCTTTACCAGTAGTTTGAAAATACACACAGATCAGCCAGAATATAAAAATTTGGACTATCGTTTAATATAGCATAAGAAAATCAACAAAATGTCCATACAAAATTATCGCTCACTCACTAGTAATTTGTATGGGAAACCATGACTGGCCGCGCGCTCGCCCCAATGTTTTGCACCCCCGGCAATATGGCGGAATAAACCTTGAAAGGGCCTATTGTATGGGGACAGGCATCAAATATTTATTTAAACAAGATTCTCATTCTCCAAAAACGGGCTTTGCGCCTGATTAATTTTAAAAATAACAAAGAACATGCCATCCCGTTGTTTAGTAATTTAAATATCCTTCCTTTAAATATGCTATATTATAAAACTATGTGTAACTTAATGTATGATGTCTCTAATAGTTCTTGTCCGTCTGCAATTTCTGATTGTTTTATCCAGGCAAGACATATGCACACCCATAACACTAGACACTGCACAGCTAACAATTTCTACATTCAATACTCAAGATTAAACAAACATAATGAATCTTTTGTAAAACTCGGAGCAAAAATATGGAATAATATTTCCGACAATGTACGTGAATTTGGAAAAAATAAGTTTACTAAAACAATACATAAAACGCTCTTAACTATACTAAAACTTGAGGACGATTATGTTGGTGTGCCTACGTTAATACAATTGATGGCTAAACAATGAATTATTGTCTTGTGTGTAGCTTTCCTATTTATTTTGGTTCTAACTATTTCCCATAGATCAGAATCGAATTGGCTGCTTATATATATTATCCACAACTTTTTCTTCTAAATATAACTCATGAGCATGTAAATATATATTATATACAGGAGTGTTAATTTACTATCCGCCTCGATTAGCTAAGCTATTAGCGGATAGTATTGTATGTTGTAACGTCTTTTGAATTAATTTAATAAAGTATCTATCTAAGTATCTAAGTATCTATAAAAAAATCCTGTAGAGACATGAGACTTAAAAAAAAATTCGGGGCGCAAACATTTTATACCCCCCCCCCCCTCTCCCCTTCCGGGATTTCTAATGGTCCGCCACTAAGTCTTTTCATTAAACTAAAGTAGTTAATAAACACTATTTAGTACTAATTCTCCACAGTACGTGAACTTACCAAAAGTTCTTTTGCACCACACGCTGCGTGCAGAAGAATTACTAATCCATATCCATCGCGCACTTGAACGGATTTCTGGACGCCATGTCGAGGAATTTCCATTTTTTCCAGATGTAAAAGCATTTTCCCATTTAAGATTTGAACAACCACTGGATGAACAAGAACTACTGTCAGTGCAGTTCCATGACCCATCTGTAACAATACCATTGCTGAAAGATGCGAGTATTCCACCACACCTTCTGTGAGCCTTATGAACCTTTATGGTCACAACTTGCGTGTCCTCTGGTAAAACGAAACGTCGAGGTTGTCTCGAAGTTTTATTTAAATCTACCTTCGTTCTGTTATTCTCGATCTCAATCTCTATACTTCTAGAGCGGTGGATAACTATGTCACCGGTAATGCCTTTCATCGCATAATCTTTGAAACAAAGAAAACATAGATGAATAGAGCAAATCGAATACCGTAAGTATTTACTCGATTAAGGCCACATGAGAGAAAAAAAAATCAAAGAGCGCCGACGTCGATAAGCACCGCACGTATTCACAACAATAACGTGATGCGTAATCGAAGCACTGTCTAAAAAAATGTTCGCGACGTTCAACCGCAAAAAGAAAACACCCAGGTACGAGGTTGCAAGCTCGGATCGTTTTTCTCTTGCATTTCAATGTTTTTATATTATATTTTGCTGCTGCTTGTTATCGCTTACAAATAAAATATTTTATAAAGAGCGCCGCCCCAGAACAAGCGCCGCTGCCTTAAAAATGTTTTCAAGAGCGACGTGGTGGTTAAATGAGTAAATATGGTAGACGGTACTGCATGTGAATTAAATAAAATTAAATACTGAAATATGTATCTCATGTGCTTGATCAACCTTATATTCCAGGCTCGGCCTCCGGGAAAAGAACCTGGCGTGTGAGGTCAACACTCAAATCCGTTGATAAAACTTTAGATATTTTCCCCTTTCTTGTATACCTTCTGATGTGAAATATGGGTATTAATTTTATTCATTTATTTATTTATACATACTACATGCATGCATATTTACGCAAGTGTGTTTTAGTTCACGAAATGCAAAAAGAGTATTCGATATCTTATAGATAGAGCAAATAGTATATATAGTTTTGTTTACCCCAAGGTTGCCACTACAGCCTGTTTTATTCAATCAAGGAATCGACAATTGGCTGCATGTATTTAGATATATAGGTTCGACAAATTGTTTTATTTGCATGCACTGCCAAAGATCTGGCCTATGGATCGAAACCTTTGAAAAGTATATAACGTGGTGTTTGTAGTGTAGCCAAGGTCACCCCACGTTTCTTATAAACTCCATAAATCTGTCTGCCTTCAAAATGTTTTATCGCACATGCATGATAATCAACGGTAAAATTTATTACCTTTATTGACCTGGCAAATAAAATTACTCTCAGTGCACGTCCGCCATTTACAATTCTGTCCATTTCTCTTCAAATAAAAGCAGCGATGTTGATCGTTTTGACTATTGGGTCCTTCACAATTTTTTTGTTCGGCATATTCAGTAGATGTTCCATCACTGAATTCATAATCCCACTTTTCCATTTTTCGCGTTCTCTTCAGGCCTGTCATGTAATCGTTGTTTGGCTCTGTACTTATTGAATCAGTAAGATCATCCCAGTCATCATCGTCTTTGAAACTACACAGTGCACCATTTTCGTATGTTTCTGAACAATATTCTTGTGCATCATCTCGATTAAGAGATTTCCTGATATAAATGTACTTGGAGCCATCTAAAAGAGTTTCAAAAGACATTAATAATTTATAATAAAATTATTCATGAAGCCAGTTGTTGTATGAGAATTCGCCTAATTAGGATCAACCTTTTCTCGATTTCCTCATGCAGTCAAAATCATTTTCTTTTGAATAATTGTTTAACACGGTTAGATTACATCCAAAAGACAAGGTTTAGATTAATAGCGTGCTCAATACCGGGGCTGAGCTAATACGATTAGAAGACAACCTTGAGTTACTACAAATTTTTTTTCGAATACCTGCCAAATTCCTCAGGTACATGAATTCAAAAATAACGCGTCTATATGCTTAGGAAATACGTGTTTTACGTCGTTGTCTATAAATTGCCCAGAAGGAATTTGTTCCTGTGTCTACATTTCGTCAACAGTTCTTTTCTACAGTTCATGCAATGAGCTTAGTTTGGGATAATACACGATTACGAATTTTTCGTGCAAGCATAAGTTAGATACTGTTTAATAAACGAGCAGGAGTGTTTTATTAGGTTTAAAGGCACGAGCGCGCAGCGCGAGTGGCTTTAGACCTAATAAAACACGACCTGTGAGTTTATTAAACTGCTTCAAACACGACTACAAAT